CATAATAAAGTATCATGGGGCCATTATGAGAAATGGCAAGATCAGACAAGAGGTATTTTAGCCAAGTAAGTTCACAAGATGCAATTGCCATGGACCGATACTCCACCTTTGCAGATGATTGTGAAACTGTCTGTTGTTTCTTAGTCCAAGATATAGGGTTGTCTGCTAACATAGTGCAACAACCAGTAGTTGAGCGTTTGGTCATTAGGCAACTAGCCCAATCATAGTCATAATAAGCAGAGAGTTGCAGACTACTATTAGCAGAGAGTAGAATGCCTTGACTAGGTGTTCCTTTAAAGTAACGAAGAATTCGAGTAGCAGCATCTAAGTGTGGTTTTCGAGATTGGTTCATGAATTGACTGAGGATATGTGCAGGGTATACAATGTCTGCCCTTGTAATTGTGAGGTATATAAGTTTACCAACCAAACGTCGATAAGGCGTGGGATCATCTAAAAGAGGTCCATCCTTGCCATTCAATTTTAAATTTTGTTCCATAGGGAAAACGACAGATTTTGCTGTCAAAAGACCAATGTCTTGTAGAATCTCAAGAGTGTATTTCCTTTGTGTGATAATGATCCTATTTTTAGAACGAAGATATGCCAAGGAAGTATGTCAAAAGACCTAAATCCTTGATATGAAATCAATCACTAAGAAAGGTTTTGATAGTATTAATAGCATTAATATCATTGCCTATGATCACAATATCATCGACATGAACTAGGACACATGCATGCATTGCTAGTAATTTTGGTGAACCGCTATTCCATATGATCAAGTTATTTATTTAATTTTATCATTGATTATATGTTTTTTACATGCCATCCGAAGCGGTGATCAAAAACTCAATTTTAACGTAAAAAAATCCTAAGAAAGGGACTGGGTAGTGGTACGAGCACCCCTACACCCTAATCATCACGTTGTAGTTTCCATTCCTACTGACACTACCCCACGAACACCTTAAAAAACAATTCTTAAACTATTTGAAAAAACGGTTAAGGGTTTGCGCTCCCCACTAAATTACCCCAAAAAAAAAAACCCCTTAGAAAAACTAAATAATCTGCATTTGCCTGATATTATATCTACATTTATTATTGGTACGTTATTTTATTTTACAAAAGGCATTAATCCTAGTGGTAATAATGTGGTTTTACATACTTGACAATTTAAGGTCTGAACCCCATTAATTTTAGCTTTTTAATAAAGGAAAAATATCACACCCC